TTGTGGAAAGGGACGGCTCAGGTAGCCGCCGTCCGCACACCCTCCCTCAGAAGGAAGTACTGCGGAACTCCCGGCGACCCAACGGACGAGGGGCGCTTCGCCCTCTCTCATACACACACGCTTCCCTCAGGAAGCCGCTCGCCACTCTCTCACACACACCCCACGCCCGCGAAACGGGACGCCTAAGCCACCTCCCTCCCGGCTCCGTGTGAGCGACCCACCTAGATTTCACCACCACCACCACCCCCCAGGGGCGAACAGGCGTGCGCAGAAGGGCAAGGCGGAAAGACAGGGGTTCGGACTCTCCCCGGCCACCGGCACACAAAGCACAGTTGGGCGGTTATTGCCCGCAAGAATACAGTACAAGGCAACGCAGAGAAAAGGAAAGCCCGCCCCAAAGGCAAACAGATCCCGCAGCGACGCGTCCACGCACACCCAATACGTACCTGATTTCTTAAGGGGCAGAGAGTGGCATCTACTCCTAGAGGATCCATCCCCCCTACCCCCTTTCTCTCTCTCTCCCCAGTCCCTTGGCATGGATCATGCTGGATTGATTGCTTCAGCATATCATAACCCTCACACCCATGCCGATGCATCCATAAAAGCCCCAGCTGACAATTCAGACCAAACAAGCCATTGCATGAAAAAAAAACCTGCAAGCTTCACTACAGAAGCAATGTATGTATTAAGTGCATGAAAGAAGGAAGCCGTGTAGGAGTGCGCGCACACATGCACACTCTTCCCTAAATCCAGGTTATGACTTCTGCAGGCATAAATAAACCGAACCCTCCACCATCAGTCCCTAAAACCGATCAGGAGCGCTCTTGCTCTGATCTTTCTCACTGAGGACGAGTTTCAAAGCAATTTTGTACAGTTTCTTTCTAAAGCCTCAACTGGCATCTTATTTCGTTGATGGAGCGATGCAAATACATTGTCGAGAGAGCACCGGCTCGCGGGACAGGGCCGGACGGAACCCGCGCACCAAAAGCAAAGCCTTGCCGCCCCTCGACAGAAGAGAAGCAATAAATAACAAAGCCCCCAAGTGGGAAGCTGAGGTACGCTGGAGCTGGGGCTGCCATAAAAGCAGAGAGTCGAGACAAATATAGGCGGTGGTCTTTGTAAGCAAGAAGGGCTTCCTAGCACAACCGGAGAAGAGTCTTGTTACAGCATCAAAGAGGAAACGTTAGTTCCCGGGGAGCTCGCCCTGCACGACGTGCCACCAACCAGGTAAGTTAGACAAACCTCCCAAAGAAACTTTAAAACAAGCAAGTGAAACTTGTCAGCAAGAAACACAAAACAAAACAAGGCAAAAACAACAACAGACGTCGTGGCACCTTAAAGACTATACTGTATTTTAATGCAAGCTTTCGTGGAACATGCCCACTTCGAACTTGGAAAGCTAAACTCGGGAGCAGTTAGGCGTTCCTGAGGCGCAAGCCCCGTCCCTGGGAAGATCTGAGATCCCTGGGACTCGCTCCCAAGTTTTCCCCTGTGCAGGACCAGGACTGCTCGCCAGCTACCGGCTAAGCTAAACGATCCCCTTAGCGCGAACCAAAGGGGACGCTTAGTAGCAAGCGGAATTGCACTACTTCCTTGCTGCTCCAGAACAACAGCTAACAAGCCCATGCATATTCAGAATCAAGCCCCCCTAAACTGCAATCTTAAAATCAGGCTGATCCGGGCAACATGATGCCTGCCAGCTTAAACTTCTCAGAATTGCCACTCCCCCTCGGCAGCACAAAAACACAACAGATCTGGCGTGACACCGCCTTCTGCACTGGAAGCCTCTCGCTACTTTCAAACTCACATGCACAGACACAGAAAACCTTTATTCATCTGAGCCATCATCAGCCACCCGGGGCTGCGGAACGGGATGATGAAAGGGCTACATTATCCCCTATATGCAACCCCGTTTTCACTCCCAACTTCTCTCCAGATATCCACGGATGACTTCCGTTTGGGCAAGAGAGGTGCATAGACACACAGGCAGATCAATCTCATTGAAGCCGATTTGGACGCTTAATTACGCGAGCGCTGGAAATCGGAAGGCTCCCGTCAACAGGATCCTTCAATCTGAGAAATTAAAAGCCAGCAAGGTGGTCGGATGGAAAGCAAAACACCACCTCCTGCGCGGTATCGCCGCGCACACTCCCCCCCCTCCCCGAGCTCTTTTCCCCCTTTGTCAAAGGCATGCAAAAGGAAAGAAGGGGGGGGGAAGCCCACGCTCCGCTTTTACCCGATGGGTTGCGTCTCCTGGTGCTCCTCAGTTCTTGTGATCTCTTTTGTCTTGTAAAAAATCAGGAGAATACTTATCGTGCAGATGGTCCACCTCTTCCTGATTGAACGCATGTCTCCCGCAAAACGGGGTGTGTGTGTGTGGGGATGTTTTAAAAATTAATTCCTTCTGTCTCCTTTGTTTGCAGGAAGAATGCTTTTTTTTTTCCAGAAAATGAAGGGAGGGTGGGAAGGAGCGAGGGAGGGAGGGAAGGAAGGAAGAAAAGGAAGAAAGGGGAGATGCAAATAAAACGACGAATCAACCCAAAATAAAAGCTGGCTTGATGCTCAGGGATAGGAGAAGGCTACCGCGATTGCTGCCGCCGATGCTGCTATTCTTCTTGTTGTTGTTCTTATAATAATAATAAAAATAATATCATTTCCCGCGGGCAAAGTCCTTTCGCCCAAAGTCCACGCGCTCCCCCCAGACGTTCCTCCGCTCCGGCTTCTCCGCGATCCTCTCACGTTGCCGTCCAGTTTAGGTAACAGCCGAGGCGGCAGCCGCCAATCTCTGGGGCGTCACTTAGCCCCGCCCAACCCCTGGCGGGGAAATGATGAGCGCAACCCGGCCAATAGGTGGCCAAGGGAGGCGGAGACGGAGACCTGGGGGGGGTTTGAGAGCGGGCGGCGGTGGCGCCCTGAACTTTAAGAAGAAGAGCGCCCTGCGGGAGCGGCGAAGGGGGGGGGTCGCCGGCCGGGAGGCCGTTTTGCTCGGTCGTCCGGAGGGTGAGCCGGCGCCTAGAAGGCATGATTCCTCCCTCAGAAGGAACTGCTGCTGACCCACGAAGAGGTCTCTGGGGATGGTCTTCGAGACCTATTAAGTATCCTGAGGCGCTGCCTCCCGTAAGACGAAGAGGATCGCGGGCTGGAGACGGCGAGAAAAGCTTGCATTTATTTTATACAGGATATATTTGGAATGCAACTATGCTGCATTTGTGTATATTCATGATCTATTTGTGTGTATCCATCGTGTGTATCTATCTCACAATGAACGTCTGTGTGTCCATAGTACACAGCTTATATTTAATTGTATATGCATATACAATTAGATATATGTATGTATGTATACATATGTGTTGCCTTCAATTTACGTTGGTCCTCATTGAGCTATAAAGTCTAAAGTACTGTATGTGAGAAGTTCAAGGAGTAGTTCGACTATTGCTACCTTCCCCCTGTGAGTTTCCATCGCCCAGTGATTTGGGCAGTTACACTGCTGTGGCTCATATTTCATGTATAGATGCACACACAATAAGTGTTTCTGAGGTGCTGTTAGGGTGTTGTCTTAGTCTGCCCCTCTGCATTCAGTGTAAAGGTACTCTTAAGATGGTACTTAAATCCAGCAGCCAGCCTGGTTGACATGAATACCCAGTGTATGAAGAGGGGGGGAAATGCTGGTGTAAACGAGGTTCATTCGTTTGGAAAGCTCACCTCCTGTAACAAGTGGGCATAAGAACCTAACACACACCATACTGATGGTGAATAAATGTGCATTTAGTATTCAGGCATTTTGAATCAATGGTGTCTTCCCCTCTTAGGCCTGCACAATCTCCCTTCCCTCTCCTTTTTGTCTGGGACAGTCCTGAAACTTTTTTTCTTTTGTCTCTCTGATTGAATTCCAATTTTGGAATGGCCTCAGGGGCACATTTCTGCCAGTTCTCCTGTAGCTTAGTGTGCTGGAGCATGCAGCTACGAAGCAGGGCACTGAGTGCTTGAACTCCCTCTATGCCTCTCAAGAAAGGGGTTAGATGAAATTACCTGGATCATACGTGGCTACTGGAGTTACATGCCCTGCCACCTGTGTGGTCTCGGGTAGATTGCATAGTACCAAAGCACCACCAAAAGGAAAGATTGGCAAATCACTTTTCTACCTAGAAAAGCCTGGGAGAGTCATTATTGACAGTATGCAATTATCGAGAGCAAGACCAAAGGTAGGTAGGTAGGTAGGTAGGTAGGTAGGTAGGTAGGTAGGTAGGTAGGTAGGTAGGTAGGTAGGTAGGTAGGTAGGTAGGTAGGTAGGTAGGTAGGTAGGTAGGTAGGTAGGGCCGTATGTCTATTCAGGAGTGAGTGCAGTGCTGTCCTGTGCTGTCCTATTACATCTTGTTCCCAGGTAGCAGGTTCTTGAGCTGCAGAGGAGAGCTCTGTTTTGTTTGTTCGTATTTTACAACACCTGCCTAGCCGATCCACAAGAACTCGGTATCAAGCAATACAACACAGGGATAAGGCTCTGAATGGGTGTTTGCAGTAGTGTTTCTATAGAATTTGTGAAATACTGGAAAGCTACCACGTGAAGTACAACTTGGAACAATCACTCCTTTGGACTTACAACCGCAGAACGAGAAAGCATGCCAGTGGCCAGGCTGGATGGACGATTTCTGGCCATTATAGTCTTTAAAAGTAATTTTCTGAAGCTCTGAATTGAATCTAAGTCTCGCTTTAATTTGTGTCCAGGGGTAAAGGGGCCCACAGAAAGACAGGCAGACAATCCAGATTCAAGAAATACCAACCTACTTTATTTTAACTGGGGGGAGTCGAGAGCGTTAATTGGAGAGCTTTGGCTCTTTCAGGGGGATGTAAAGATGTTTATGTGCTGCAAAGTACACCAGAAGTAATGGTGAAAGCGCTCACACTTCTGTCTTGCAATGTTCCAACTGTGCTCTGATTATTGTGATAGTTAATGGCATGGGGATGCTAGATGGATCAGTATGATTTCACCCTCTATTATAGGAATTGTTCATCACATTGCTTCAGAAGTAAATGATACTGATTGAAATATGGCAATGAGGGACGTGGAATGGTCGTGTTTGTGTGTACGTGTCAGAGCACACGTACTGAGTATACTTACTTAATATGCATGATGATTATTATATTGGCCAGATACTCTGTCGAGTATTTACTGACACTATATCAGATCACTGTGTCAAATTCCATAGTTGAAGTTCTGTGTGCAAAAATATTAAGCAAGATACTGGCCAATACTTTTAATACTTTAAAAAATTATCTGTACAGTTATGAGGAGGTGCAGCCATGCCACTGGTCCAGACCAAATCTTCTCATCTTCTACTAAAATTCTGGTATTTTGATTGTGTGGACAGAGTACGCACACATGAACATTTGTGGGCTTGTTTTTTCATTACATGGGTTGTTTCTTTCATTCTCACCCTGCCTGTCCTTCTCTCTTATCTGCACAATCACCTGCCATCCTGACAGCAAATGATCCCCATTAAGTTTCATGGCAGAAAGGGACTTTGAACTTAGTTTTTTCCAGTTCTGATTCAACACTCTTGTCAGCTGTATGTGCAGACATTTGGAACAGCGACAGCAAGCAGGCAGAACTTTAAGAGTTGAACCCCTTGTCATGTACAGTAGCAATAGGGCATGTGATACTGTTGCACAGGAGCTCCCAGCATCCCTCACTGTCAGCTATGCTGGCTGGGAGTTATTGGAGTTGAAACTCAGCAACATCTGGAGGGTCACATATTCCCCATCCTGCTATACAGAGTTTCTGTAATCCTATGTTTATCAGAAGCAATCAAACAGCTCTCCTCAAGTTTTCATGCAACCCCCCTTCCTAATGTCACCATTGCTTTAACCTTATGCTAATGAAGGCAAATAAAATAAGAATTCTTCCATAGGTATGGGGAAAGTTATTTTAAGATGAATATTTAACCATTTTTTTGTATTCCTGTTGAAATCTTAGAGCAAACACTGAAATTGTCGGTGACCTGTTTATATATTATTCAGCACCGAGAGCAATTCATTATCCATGCACCCAAGTTATGGTGCCACAGTAAGGTGTAATGTTTGACTTTGAGAGACCCTAGAATGAAATTACGGCTGAGTCATGAAACCCCCTAGTCTTTAATAAACTTATTTTCTCTCTTATATAGAAAGAACTTAATGGAGGATTAAAACTACCCAACAAGAGAAGAATTTCAGGTTGCCTTGTCATGAGGGGTCACCTCTAGCACCCTGAGCAGCTGTCTGTTATCACTGAGTACTCTAGAAGGTCTGTCAAGCATGGGAGACCATTGGACATCAGGCAGGCACTGGGACCTGGGGAAGGATAGAGCTGGGAAGGGATGAGGATAAAGACCTAGGGAAGGAGCCAAGGGCTGGGCTTTGTAGATAGCTGGGTGGGCATAAAACTAGGGTAGACAGAGATGGAGGGAGAGACCAAGATGGGGGCAGAGGAGGCAGATGCCAGGGATTTGGGGCAGGAGGAGTCCTGGAATGATGCAATAGAAGAGCCCATACTGGCCTTCCAAACACCAGTTTAATATGTCATCTAGAGACATCTCTAGACCGGGGTCCTAGTGGGATTTTGGGTTCCTAGAGGGATAGCAGGGGTCCACAGTGCAGGCTAAAACATCAGCCACCATTGCCACACCAAGGCCATTGCTGAAGGCTACCTCCATCATCCAGGCAACCAATCTCTATGCAGAAAAGGGGTCAGCAGTACCTGCAAGTGGAGTCACATTCTACCCAAGGTTGGGGTGGCTAGATGCTATACAGCCACTTTGCAAGGTTCAGGCAGATAGGGACAGCTGTAGTCTACTCTGGGCGGCTCACAAAATATGTAATAAAAACAGTTAATATAAAATAACAAATTCCAACAATAATACAAAAACAGAAAAGATAAAGATAAAGAAAGAGAATTACGTAGTGTCAGCGGGGAAGGCCTGTCTATATAACCATGTCTTGAGTTGGGTTTTGAAAATGCCCAGCAAGGGGGCCAGACGAATCTTGAGGGGGAGCATGTTCCAGATCCTGGGAGCCACTGCCGAGAAGGCCTGGTGTCTTGTTTTTTCTTTCCGCGCCTCCTCGGCATTAGGCTCCTCAGTCGCCCCTCCTGGCTAGATTGGGTGATACGAGTAGATCTAGGTGGGAGGAGGCATTCCGCCAAGTACAGTGGTGCCCCGCATAGCGACGATAATCCGTTCCGAAGAAATCATCACGATGTGGGGCAAAAAAGCCCATAGGAACACATTAAAACACGTTTAATGCGTTCCTGTGGGCAAAAAACTCACCGTTATGCGGAAATCCTCCATGCGGCCGCCATTTTCGCTGCCTGGTAAGCGAGGAAAGGACGCGAAAACACAGCAGGCGGCCATTTTCTTTACCCGGCGGCCATTTAGGGACAGCCGATCAGCTGTTAAAAAAA